TGTTTAATATTTGTGATAAGAGTTAATACAGGCCTGTGTAGAAAGTTTACTGTAAGAATTAATAAAGACCCGTGTTTAATATTTGTGGTAAGAGTTAATACAGGCCTGTGTTGGAGGTTTACTGTAAGAATTAATAAAGACCCGTGTTTAATATTTATGGTAAGAGTTAATACGGGCCTGTGTTGGAGGTTTACTGTAAGAATTAATAAAGACCCGTGTTTAATATTTATGGTAAGAGTTAATACAGGCCTGTGTTGGAGTGGGTTATACTCAAACAATGCATGAATTAGAGATGTCTACAGTCAGAAATGGTTTAAAACAAAATGTTTAGAGTACCAGTTGATGAAACGAACATTTTAATATATTACCCAAGGCCGTCCGCTCTAGTCTTTTGTATGTTTGTTCTTGTTTTTCAGTCACACAACCTGATATCTAAATTGTTCAAGTTGGTGAACATTATTTTTTTATATTTATGTTCAAAATGGGGACACGGGAGTTGATATCTAGAGTATTAACCCTCTCAAACTAAACCTGTAAGGTCACTTCCCAATCAACATTTTATATTGTTAAGAAGACACTGGGGAAGAGCCATGACCTCTAAAAGCCCCCGCCCCCTCCCCTTACACACACATTAACGAGAAAAAAACAACAACAACAACACTTAAAGAGGCCGCGTCTAGAACATTGCAAGTTTTTCTACATTACCCGATCACATCGATAACTTGCTGAAAATTAAACACTTTAGATATGTAAACAGGCACTTAAAGGCGTTAAAAGTAGCTTATGATAATTTACTTCTGCCTCATAACACCTGTAATCCTGAAGTCAACCTTGAGCAACAACGCGTCGGTTAGAGGATGTGCGTTAGAAATACTTGGATTCAAAAATACTGACGTAGGCGGATGTACAGACGTAATAGTTTAACCCTAGACGGGAAGGGTCACGTGCTAACAAGCTTTGTTACAAAGTGACTATTCTACCTTCAATCTTTGTTATAAAGTGACTATTCTACCTTCAACCTTTGTTACAAAGTGACTATTCTACCTTCAACCTTTGTTACAATGTGACTATTCTACCTTCAACCTTTGTTACAAAGTGACTATTCTACCTTCAACCTTTGTTACAAAGTGACTATTCTACCTTCAACCTTTGTTACAAAGTGACTATTCTACCTTCAACCTTTGTTACAATGTGACTATTCTACCTTCAACCTTCGTCGTACAAAAGTTCAGGACACGCTGAACATGACAATCTATACCATAATATGGCCAGACAGTCGTACTACAATATTTCAACATAGAGGACTAAATAAGACACAAGTGCTAACCTTAGCGTTAAGAACGAGTGTGGTTATAAAGAAAACCACAGTGAATAAACTTTCTGGCACGAGACGAAGCATCATTTACTATACGAGAAAGTTTGATGTTCACCAGAAACTATCAGTTGTAGTAACTTATCATCGTTATTACAAATCACTTCACTAAATTTAAGGAATGTGTAATAAATGTTTCACGATATCCTGGAATTAATTAAGTAAAGATAGCTGCATCTTGAGTTTTTACTAATTATATTAGTACGTAAGTACGTTCAAAGTTCACAGACATGTTAATTCCATCGACAAGACCTCTCCTCTTTTTGGTCAGATGTCTTTCTTAATAACTGATCAGTTGATTTTTTAGAACAGAGATATAAATACTGAGCATATCAATTACTCATTCAAGTTAAGATATAATTAAGTGAATATTTCTGGCAAACTGAAGTTTCGAGTTTAAAATCTACAGTTTAAAGGGTAAATTTCACTTTCCGTTTCTCTCTAACAAGCATACATTAATTACACAAAATTCTGTCACTACCTGGATGTTTAAATACTGCTGATAAGTGTTTGAACTATTAAACAGTTTATAATATACACAGACGAAAGAATTCGTTACACTTACAGCCAAACAGGTTTATTCCAGACCTAGAACAACCAATGGGCATCCGGACTGTAGAATGAGGAGCCTCGAGACTAACAGCAAAGTGTTGTAATATTGTACGCGTTTTTTTTATTAATATCAAGTTCCGAGATGAATTTCAAAACTAGTTCCAAGCACATTTGGTACAATTACTTCTCTAGTCATGATGACATTTGAAAATCTATGCTTTGATACTTGATAGAATCCCCACTCTCCCAATACGTGCCATGCCATGATAGAATCCCCACTCTATCAATACGTGCCATGCCATGATAGAATCCCCACTCTATCAATACGTGCCATGCTATGACAGAATCCCCACTCTATCAATACGTGCCATGCCATGATAGAATCCCCACTCTATCAATACGTGCCATGCTATGACAGAATCCCCACTCTATCAATACGTGCCATGCCATGATAGAATCCCCACTCTATCAATACGTGCCATGCTATGACAGAATCCCCACTCTATCAATACGTGCCATGTTATCGCCTGTGCTTTAATATGTTTAATGGGAGTAAAGTTTGAAAGAAACCATTAAATTATCGCTAAGCAAGTTAACACCTAAAAATACTGCACATTGCTTGTTAGCCGTGATTTAAATATAGTGATTATAAGGAAGCCCTTACCTTTCCGTATGGCTGAAATAGGCAGGAAATACTGGTTCGAACCCGGTTCTTCATGCCTCTCACTGTTCCCGACACCGACATAATGGCAGAGTCCTTAACGTCTTCGTCTTCTCTCTTTTTGCTGGACTGCTCGGGACCGGGATCCAGCTCGTGCAGATGAAACCGTAATACGCTGTTATGGTCATCTGTACACTTTCCTCCTAGATGCCACTGGCTTTGGTCACCGAATCCCGAGTCGTGTTCGTGGCTGTCATCGGACAGAGAACAGTGGTCCGAGTCGTTATCACTTCCCGTAGCACTGCTAGCTCCACTGCTAGTTTCACTGCTATGGTAACGCCTATCGATGCCGGACAGCTGGGTATTAGCATGGCTTTCCTCCATTAATACTTTCTCGTCCGCGTGTGTGTCGCACGTTCCAGGACAGCAGTCTACGGACGGCGTGTTCCTTACGTCCAGTATCTTAACAGGGCAGGTATCCATAGAGGTGTTATTCTCGATCTTCAGAACGTGCACGTGAGCTCGATTCACTTGACTGCTTGTCTTAAGCGGTGTACGACAGACTTCACTGTTTCGGTTGGTCAGTTCTTGCTTCTCGGGTACCACTACTGTGCCGTTGACCACTAGGGACACCGAGTGACAGGACGGTTTGGTGTGCTCTACATTTGTTCTAAACATTGTTCGTTCTCTGACTAGAAACGTCCAGAAAGAAGACCCTTCTCCTCAAAACAACTTAGTAGAACTCGAGCCGCGGGCGGAATACCCGAGCTGCAGAACAGGTTTTAATAGTCACGTGACCCATCTCAAGAAAGGCCCTATGTATAGGTTGATCACCTTTTTCCCGCCTACATTATTAATGGAAATATACAGACACAGATGAACGATGCCGTCTTATTTTATACGCCTGCTAACTGAAACAGCAAAGTGTGGGATGAAATTAGTTTGTGTGAGCAAACTGTAGTTTTGTTATAAAGCATCGAAAAGCTTAAACGTCTGATAAAGGTTAAAAACTTATGATAGTTTCAGTTTGATAAGTTCGAGTCAAACAAACTCAAAAAATGTGATTTGAAGTTGCCGAAATTTTCTACTGGATTTCGGAGTTCTTGTAGTTAGAAGCCTTATAATATTGGTAGAAAATTTGAAATTGGATCGGTTTACGTAAACACATTCTTGTGAAACAGCTCACCGCCATCTTACTTTTGACGTCGAGTGTCCCAATTTCTTCAAGTAGGCCTAACCTGGTGGCGCTCTTAAGATTATTTCATCCTGTACACTTAACGAAAAATGTTATATTAATAAAGGTATAAAAACCCTGGAAGCGGCAGAGCGTGGACCGTGCGTAATTCTATCAGACGATAATTACTTAAAATTATTCTCTCTCTCTCTCTTCGAATTACACTCTTTCTTTACATTATTCTTGTACACCCGTCAGTGTAATATTATATTCAAAGTACACCTATTCAGCCATGAACGAAAACCCCTTCCCAGTTGTTATATTTGTTCAGTCATAAAATAAAGTAATTATTGCATCACCGTCCCTCAGTTATTACAAAGTACATAAGGTGGGCCGGCAGTAAGTTTACGTACTTACAAAGCGGAAATTTGGGATTTGTTTCCTTGCGGTGAACACGAAAGACTGTACTTTGCTTTAAGACAGGCAACAACAACAACTTAGCGATAAGAAACTAGTTACATAAAGTAGAAACAACGTGAAGAAAAAAAACAACAACACCGAGTTTTCTAAAAGACAAAAACAACATAAAGAGTTGTGAAAAAACAACAACAATATTTTTGTATAGTTTGCTAGAGGGAGCTGCTAACATGATGGCGTTAGATTTAGTTTGTTTCTTTGTTGTTAAGAGCAAAACTACACATATTTTTCTTTGGTATCAGGGATTTCATGTGGAAGGGGCTAAAGTTTTAGGTCGTGACCCAATATTTTAATTATGGGCAAGTCGTAGCAGCTTGTACGTTTCTCCCACGATGTGTGAACTGTGGTGGAGACCACCATAATTCAACCTGTCCAAAAGAACATGAAAACGTTTTGTGTTGTTATTATAAACAACAACACACGACGAATGACAAAGAATGTCCTAATTAGAAGGACGTCAGAACAAAAATCTACAAGTTATACAATAATATATAACACACAGAAACAGTTACACAAAACAAAGAAATATATAACCCACAAAAACTACTGCTACCGACACCAATAACACATCTCATAACTTCGTTTACTTACACTCAGTAAACAAACATCTCATCCAAATAAACAAACACAGTCACAATTAATAAGAACCAACAATCTAACATAATTACAGATCAAACATCTTACTAAATAACTTAAAAACGATAAAGCTTGTTACCACACAAGATTACTCTGACATGAGGGTTCTCAAAAACCAAACAACCTGTTTCAAATAACTACAGAAAGTAGAAAGGGGCGGCGCATATAAGAGGCTTGGAAAGACTTAACCTCCCCAAATAAACCGTCCTTCACAGGACATTTTTCTCACTAACCCAAAAATATTATACAGAATATGTGGAGCCAGCGAGAGCGAAAGAGGGCGTATATGTGTCATCGAGGAGAGTTTATTTATTTAGGGGCGCGAAATGATTTTTCTCAATTATCCGAACAAAAGGCTCACACGCCGCCTACGAAGGTAGACATTAGGCTCGCTAAAAGAAACAAAGTAAAAACAACATAAGGCAAACAGGGGCTTCTATAGAAACAACATTTGTTTCAAATATACACACAAGGTAGGCTTAGGGGTTCTTTAAAAGAAACAAAATAAAAACCAAGCTGGCTCCAGGTACTTTCATATGTCAGTCATTGGGTTTTATAAAAGAAAGAAATATGGTTGAAAATAACTTTAGTTTCTAATACCTACACAACACAGCCAAGAAAGAATTAAGGGCACAGAGGTTGAGGAGGATTTTAGAGCCTCACTACGTCGTTACAGACCATGTCGCCACGACCAGTCATGTTTTGTGTGACGACCGTGCATCTTAACAAAGGCCTTGCAGAGCATTTTTCTTATAAAGGGCTTTGTCGCAAAGCTCTCATGTTCAAAGCATATACCCTCATCTCTGCTTGCTTTCTAGAATCCATCCTTTGTACGAGGACGGCGGCTTCCCAGCGCCAGTTTTACTAGCTTAATCTCACGGAAATCTATAGACACTGCGTCCGACGACTTGACTGGCATATTTTTGTACGTAATAATAGCATGGATACCTGTTTCATTCTTCAGTTGCTTGAGATATGCGACAGTCAAAGAATATATCGAGAAAGCAAGTTGTTTACACGTGACTTTTCCTGACAGAGAACCTTCTTAATTATGTTGTCTAGAGCACATGGACGACTTTTGCCACCGATCTTTGTGTTCGTGAAATATCTGACCTGTTACAAGATTCTACGCTTCGCTTACTATGGGTGGGGTACGAGTTATTCAGATTTGTTTCCTTGTGGTCCTGTTTTCCAAGTTGGTTCATATTTCTTTATTTACTGATGAAATTAACGACAAGGTATATCATGGTCTTGGAAATTCACAGCCTTCGTTCTGAACAACTTTTTATGATCTAAGTATATGAATATCAGACAGAACTGGTACACACCCTTCTCAAAATCGATCAATTTTTGGTTGCATCACACCACCCAAGAAACTTCAAACAAAATGTAGTACTGATACATTCTGTTCCATTGTAACATTTTATCGGATGTGGTTTTCACGTGACTTACTAACTTGCATGTTCATAAATTGGTCTTGATAATTTTTTTAAAAGCTGTTACATTGAAAGATATTTCTGCATGAAGCCCTTTATAAGTGTATTGAAAGTGTTATATCCTTGAATAGGGCTTCCAATATCAGGAGTAATATATCAGTAATGTTTTTACATATGTTCCAGCACTTATTTGAGTAGCTGGAAAGACGTTCCTTACTTATTTCGGTAGCCGCAAAGACGTTCCTTACATATTTTGGTAGCCGGAAAGACATTCCAGCACTTTCTGGAAGCTTTTTGACAATAAATAAAAACGTTTTTTAGAATCCAACCGCATTTACTCATGTGAAAATGTATCAAAGAATGTCGCCTAGTTCTGGGATGTTGTGACAGCTAATCAAAGAATGTCGCCTCGTTCTGGGATGTTGTGACAGCTAATCAAAAAACGTCGCCTCCTTCTGGGATGTTGTGACAGGAATGTTGCCTCGTTCTGGGATGTTGTGACAACTAATCAAAAAACGTCGCCTCGTTCTAGGATGTGGTGACAGGAATGTCGCCTCCTTCTGGGATGTTGTGACAGCTAAGTCACGCAGCAACCGAATATAAAACGGAAGGAAACATCAGGTATTTCAGTCGATTTATAATGTGGGGGGGGGGCAATATTTCTCATAGATGTGATTCAACTCACATTTCTCTTTCGACTCGATAAACCCCGGATGAGAAAGGAGCAAATAAATAATACCATTCTTTTAAATGCATTAATACACAACGTTGGTGAAGCAGGTGACAAATCCGTACTACGTATACTTTTTTTTTTTTGCTCTGATACAGCCGAAGTGCATCAAGTTATTATTATCTGCACCCTTGCAGCACACATCCACAGCACAGTATGATCAGCTGTGGATAAAATATTGAAGAGTGTTTTCCGAACAGAAACCATAGTTTTTCAATGTCACTAGTTTTTAAATTTTAAATTGTTTTTGAAAAATATATATGGGTTCTGGCACTTATTTTTTTGTTGACTCAAGTACAGATTAATACTAGCCAAAAAGTTGGCCATGGGTGCTATTATTAACTGCTGCCTTCCCTCTAGTTTGTCAGTTCAAAATTAGGTGTGGCTAGGTGCTGATAACCCTTTGAGTAGTCATGGACGAAAATGTTGAAATAAAAAAATACACAAAGCCAGGTTTATTTCAAGTTTGGGGGGCCCGTTTTGGCTGAACGAGTTACTCTAAAACAACAGTGTACAGTTCCTTTCTGTATGTAAAATCACCAGGCAACATCTTGAAGCCAAGGGCAACAGATCCGCTGCGTAGGCATGACGACCAAAGATTAGCGGTCTGTCTGCTGTATTAACAAGTGGGTCAGGTATGGGTGTTGTTTCTTGTTCCGTCTGCTATTTCAATACATGGAACTGAAAACTGTTAGCTTGATAAAAATAAAAAATTCGATCACATTTATTTGCTATTCCAAGTAATTTGTCTAGTTTAAACTAATTTACTAAAAGTTACGTGTTACTACATTCCTTCACCATGCACCAATGACATATTAAAATATTTTGTACGTTAATAAATTATTCTGATAGCTTCTGATTTTTACGGATCTGTTGAAAAATGTAAAACTTGTAGTCATTTGTTTTTTTTATTTCCATTTTTAATATTCACATTAAATATTATATTGAAACACAAATAATTTAAAACCACAAGTTAAAACTGCTGATGTTAAAAACCAATAGACGAAAACCTATCATATATTAGGACACTAGCTAGTAGTATTTTCCTCGGTGGCGGCAGGCTCTAGACTTTATTTGTCTGGTGCTTCAGTAAAAAAGTTGAACTGGCTTGCTATGACGTTTACAAATCAACGATAATGTTACGTTGATTGAACTTGTAATAATATATCAATGTTATACCTATTATATTTCTAACACTACATTCTTTAATTAGACCGTTAGAATTTTTCAAGAATTAAAATATTGTATAATAACTTTCCTACCACACTATGTTCGCCATCTTCATTTTATCGTTAACTATTATTAATATTTTATGCTTGCAGTTTTAGTTACCTTTTTTTCCAGGGGAGGGAGCAGTTGTATAAATAGTAAAGAAGCCGAGTTAGAGTGGTCTTTATGAAACTACCTTAAAAATCAGTCATTTCCCGTTTTCTAAATCAGCGTATTAATATTTATATCAGGTTTCTGATATGAACACTTGTGGTGAGTTTGTATTTATGGCAGACCTAATAAGTCTATTTGTCGCCGTCACTAATTATGAACTACTGACCAGAAGGAAAACAGGCAGTCAGCAACGCCCTAACACCCACCATCTACGCTATCACTCTTATAAAACACACATATAGTGCAGAGAATATTTTGTGGTAATGCACGGATTCGAACCCGGATCGCCAGCCCTAAAGTCCAGAGCTCTACTACAGGGCCAATCCGAGATATCCACGTGTAGAAATGCTTCATGGTGTGCACATACTTCGCTACAGCGATTTTTAACGATAACTTGTGTGAGACAAACTAGGGAACTGTTTTGCCATCTACTGGGGAATAAAGAAACTGAGTTTTTAAAAACTTACTCCAGTCTGATAATTGACAAAGATTTCAAGTAGTTGTACAAACAGAACTACAGTTATACTTAAAATTTGTCAATGACATGTAAAAAATGTTTAAAACTAAAGGTTTGAAATAAGGAATATCTAAATAAAAAAAAAACAGAGAGAATTTGAAAACGTAATAAAGATAACAGATATCTCTATATGTATAACAGTGGAGTTGTTCGAACGAAGAAACAAACGAAAAAAATATATATGTTTTTAAAATTTTCGCACAAAACTGTTCATAGCCCTACTTCATTTTTAACTTATAGACTAGAGGAAATGCGGCTAGTTAACAGCACATACCGCCAACTCTAGGGCTACTCTTGTCTGATCGAGTAGCGAAATTTAACCGTTATTCTTATATCACACCCAAGACACAAACAACAGCTTTTTTACGACAACGGTTCACGAACCAGTAATCCTCGGATTCACAGTCCTGTTGAACACTTTCACGCCTGCCAAGGTCACATCATTGCCAATGTTTCAAATTATATCAATCAAAGGAGAAACATGTTATTTATATATATGAAATAAAATAAATTAAAGATGAAACTTGTATATTGCAACACAACTTTTAGTTGCAATGGTGAAAAACATGGGACGGTTTTTTTATTGTGTTCTGTAAATCTGGTTTCCTTCACAAATTTAGGAATTAGCTTTTCAGAGCGGCACTGTCTGAGGAAGGAAATAGCGTTTGTCTGTTGGATTGTTTTTGTATTCTGTTTTCGTAATTTGAAGATGGTTTCCCGTTATGATTTGT